AAGCTCCCGGAGCTTCTGGCGAGTCACTATCGATGTGTGTGGCCTGGCGTTATCCAGATGGAACACAATTCCTCTGCTTGGCCAAAGCTGGCCGCTTCTGGGCGATTGATTCCTTCAGACGGTCCAGTTGTTGACAGTACAGGTCCGAATTAAGAGTTTGGCCGTAGGGGAGCAGCTCATAGTGGATGATTCCCTGCTAATCCCACCAAACACACAGCAAAGCCTTCCTGACCGTCAATCCTGGCTTGGCCACCGTTTGCGCCGGCTCACCGCGTTTCGACCACGACCGTTTTCGCTTGACGTTGTCGTAAGTGACCCACTTTTCATCACCAGTCATCATCCGCTGCAGAAATGGGTCGATTTTGTTGCGATTCAGCAGCGATTCGCAGATGGAAATTCGGTCCAGTAGGTTTTTTTGCGTTAACTCGTGTGACACCCATACATCGAGCTTCTTTTTGTATCCAGCCTTATTCAAGTGGTTCCAAACGGTTTTTTGTGCAATGTTTAGCTCCTGGGCAATCGAAACAGTGCTTACATGACGGTCGGACTAGACGATTTCCATTATTTTATCGACATTTTCGACAATTGGCCTTCCAGAGCGTGGTGCATCTTTGACATCAAAATTTCCGGAACGAAATCGACGAAACCAAAATTGCGCGTGATTGGCTGTTACAGTTAGGGCTGTAATTTTCTTTCGAAGTCTTGGTATTCGAAGCTTCGAAGAATCGAAGCTTTGATACAAAATATTCGAAATTCGAATTTTCGAAGCCTCGAAGTTTCGAATAGAGCTGTAATTTTCTTTTGAAGTCTTCGTATTCGAAGCTTCGAAGAATCGAAGCTTCGATACAAAATATTCGAAATTCTAATTTTCGAAGCCTCGAAGTTTCGAATACAATACAATACAATCTCTGTGAGCTTGCACTCGATCAACAAGCGTTTTTCTCCGATTCCTCGGACCCTTTACATAAGGGCATATTAGCCCTGCCGCCACCGCGAACAAATTAAAAATGCTTAATTAAATATGCTTTTGTGTAGTAAAGATATATGCATAAATGAAATAGGGCATTCCTCTTTCAAGGATGAAAACGATGTGAAACTACTGCTATCATGACACTGATTTCATTTTTCAATAATTATAGTTTACTAACTGCTCCAATTTATATGGTAAAATTACGTGCGAAAATGAAGTATAACATTGGTCAGTGCGAAATAAAAAAAATATCTCAAATTATCGTTGCTAATTATATTGAAATCTCAAATAATATAACGTATTCTTCAAAATATTATTCCCAAACTACGCTTGCGCCTACAACACTCTTTTCTAAAAACTTTTTCTTTGATGCATCCAGTACACAAGCGGTTTGAAGAATTTATCAGAAAAGCAGCGAAAGTCTCTCCAAAGAGAGAATGCGAATATCGGTAACTTGGCATTACTTACGTAACGTCTATGTGTAAGAAAATTGAAATGACAACGTAGCACACACACTTACTTAACATTTGTGAAAAGTAATAGCAATATCATGTTAGCGCCTATTTGACAATCGTCTTTATTCTGTAAGTATATATGTGTATATAAATTCGATATCGTCGGTAAATGAAGATAACGTTTTCTATTTTTTAACGATCGGTCTACATTATCGACGCTTATTAAATTCGTTGCTCACTCCGGCATCCCCTTAACGTCACGGCACTACCATGCCGGTGTGGAACATCTCTGCTGCTGACAGTGTATTGTTTACATAGCCGTCATTCGTAGTGAACACGATGAGAAGCTGGGTGTGGGATTATTGCACCAAAGCCTCTGATAGCCAGCCTGCGACATGTAGCGTGTGTGACATAATGCTACAAACGCATGGATCCACAACTACAATCATACATCACTTGACGAAAGTACACAATTTCAACGCATCACGCAGTCGTCCAAGCAGAAAAAGGTTTGTCTTGTCTTTTGTGCACAACTATAATTGTGCACGCAACAACCGTCTAACTGAATTGATAGGAATTCTCGCTAGAACGTGGTTGGCGTTCGTTTTTCTTGTTAGACAGACATTGAGCAATTATAATCAGAGTTTGTTTTCATCGCTTGTAGATCACAGGAGCATAGCGAGCTAGAGAACCATGAAGATGATGTAGGCTTAGATTTTAATCCGAGCAATGGTAACTCCTTGATCTCTCATCCCATTTCCCGGAAGCGTGCGCGGATTTCGGCTTCCACGGACCCCGTTAAGCCCATTTGCAAGGAACGGCAAGAGAAAATAACTCAGGCCTTAGTCAAACTTATAGCATACAATAAGCTGCCGTATAGTTTTGCCAAGAGTCCTGGGTTCACGATATTCATGGCAGATGTAGAGCCTGGATATAAGTGTCAATGCAGTCAGACGATACTTCGCTGGCTACGTATATTAGAGGATGAAGTCAAGGGAAAAATACAACAAAAGCTGCAATCATGTCAGTACGTTGCCCTCGACACCGATTGCTGGACATCTCTGGCTCAGGAGGGCTACATGAATGTCAACGCTCATGTCATAGACGATGCTTGGGAGTCACATGTCTTCACATTTAGCACGCAAGAGCTAGACGACAGACATATGGCCGAAAATTTAGCGGACAGTTTACAACTTATTGCTGCGGAATGGCAAATTGATAAAAAAATTCCCGCTATTGTGAACGACAACGCGAGCAACATAGTTGCTGCGGTGAACTTGATGCCTAACGTCGAGGCTGACGTTACATGTGCTGCACATACCATCCACCTGTCAGTGCAGAAAGCGTTACAGCATACCTCAGCTGCGCTTGCTAAAGGTGGCTATCTTGTTACACATTTTAGACATTCTGTCGTTTCCTCGGAGGCGCTGAAAAGAAAACAAGAACAGCTTGGGCTTTCGAATATTAAACTAGTTCAAAGTGTGCGTACACGCTGGAATACTGATCTGCATATGGCTGAAAGCCTTGTTGGAAATCGTAGTGCGATTATAGTCGTTCTTTCTGACAGATGTGTAACACCGAGCGCGCAGGCAAGGAATCTGGAAATTACCGAAGAGAACTGGAGTATATTAGAAGGACTTATAAAAATCCTGAAACCTCTTGAGATCGCTTCCACGGTTTTATCGGGGGCCCCATTGTCAATGGTTCGTCCTATTATTCGCACCGTCATTGACAATCATTTGCATAAGTTGAGAGATAATATTGGAGAGACCGTTGTTCTGTTAGTGACCAATACGCTAGCGACGGAGTTGTATACGCGCTTCAAAATGGAATCTCTTGACGAAGTAACCATAGCATAAACTGCATCATTTTTGGATCCACGACACAAAGATTTAATCAGCGAACCTTCCTGTATAAGAAACAAGATCAGAGACGCAGTTGCAATGGAGGTTGCAGCACTTGCTTCAGACGAGAGCAGTATCTGCCCGCAGACTTCATCTAGCAGTGTTCTAGATTTCTTATTTAAGACGCCTCAGGAACCGCGCCTTCTTCCTACTGAGCAACAATTTCAATTATATCTTGCAGAGCCACAAATAGATATTAACATGGACCCCTTGCAATGGTGGAAGAGTCGCGAGCAGAAATTACCTCTTCTTGCACAGTTAGCGAAAAAATATTTATGCGTGCCATCAACTTCTGTGGCATCAGAAAGAGTATTCTCTGTAGCGGGAGATGTGGTGAGCCGAAAACGTAATTGTCTGGCTCCCGAAAATGTCGCCACGAATATGTTTTTGTTTCAAAATAGGTCGTTAATATAAAAAAGAATAAATACATGTTACGTTAAAAATGTTGCGTTATAAATAAATGTTGTTTTATTATAGAGTATAAAATTCGCAAGTTTGTTAATATTGTAGATTTATTTCAATTATCATTATTTTCTATTATTATTATCAAGCGGGATGATAGCACCGCGAATCGAACACAAACAAAACGCGACCATGTTCACTACGATTATATTTAG